TGGCCCCTTTCCTGCCTCTGGCAACAACCTCATTTATATGGGAGGTAAGAAGCCAGCTCCAGCAGGCAGGTTGCTCTCAGTGGGCTGTTCTGCTCTTTCCCGTTTTCTTTTAAGCTCCCAAGAAAAGTTGGGAGACGCCTGAAAAACTGATCTAGCTGGACTTACACATTTATGTTTACTTTCAGAGACTGCACAGAAGAGAGACTCGAAAAATATAACACACAAATTCAGGTTTAGTAACTAAAAGTTGTAAAACAAAAAAAATGGCAAAACTGGTTGTACGATCGTGGTGTTAGTGGTTTTTTTCCCTTTAAATTAATTTACACTGAAAAGTATGTTGAATTTGATTATTGGATAATGATTATTTCAACATTCCTATCTGCTTTATAAAATAGCTGCTATCATAATAATCGTGCAGATTACTTTGTAGAAGATATTTCCGATCTAGAGGCTGCTGGAATGATATGTGAGATCATCAGTTCTTCACTCACTACGGAAGATGAGCAGTATTTGAAATGTTTTCTCATAAAAAAAAAATAGTAACCCTTCGAAACTACATGGGTTAAAAAGTGGAATATTCACAAAAGTCTTATTATGAAATTGAATCATATAGGCAGTTTTTAGAACATGCATATATCTCTTTAGAGGAATAAATTCTTCATTTTGCTCAAATTGAAAGCGCATTGCCAAAAGGATTTTTTTATTTTTTGGATATAAAAAGCAATAATGATGATGTACTTCATCTCACTTGCCACAAAATAATGTTTTATGAACCCTAAATGTAAAATTCAGGAATCTTTAAGTTTTGTTCAAGTAACATAACCTATCTTTTGTATAATTAATATTTGAGATGATAGCTTTTAACAATGTTCTCCCCACAAATAATCATGCTTCCCCCCCCCTGCAGTTACAGCATTATTAAACTCCATTTTAAGTTGTGAAAAGAAAGAAAGTATATTTCTATTTAAGCTGTACCTTAAACTAGATTAAAGCCATTATTTCCTGCCATGTCAGGGCAAATGTGTCCAATGACGAAATCCCTGCTCCTGCTCCAAAACTGTAACCTTCTAGTTCCATCGAGCAGAGCTCAGTTTGGGGTCCTGATCCTGCCCTGTACATAGATAGTGGATATGGTGTCACAGCTTTGTAAAATATACCCCCCCCCCAAAACCTACCGTGTTACATACCTCCAGAGGGTGAGTTTTGTGGTATGTGAATTCCATCTATAAAATAAAAAGAAGGTGTGTTGGGGGACCTAGATGCAGAAAGAATGGGTTTAGGGGAAAGAGATAGATTCTGTGGGATAATCTGTAGGCACTGATCACAGAAAGCAGTGATGTACTTGTTTTTACTGAGATGTTGAGCTCCTGCACTAGATGATGGATGGATGGATGGATGGATGGATGGATGAAGAGATGGATGGGTGGATGAGTGGATGGGTAGATGGATGGATTGATGAATGGATGGATAGATGTATAGATGGATTAGTGAATAGATGGATGGAGTGACTTAGCCAAACTCCTAACATGTCAGTCACATGTGTCAGGCAGGTAATGTTTGACAGACCTTCAATTTGGAGTCTAGCATACAACCTATGACAGTACATGATACTTTTAAACAGTTGCTTCAAGGGTAGCCCTTTAAAAAAAAATCAAATTCCCCTAAAAAGTACCTTCTCGTGTGTGCTTCTTGTACAGAGACTGTCTTAGATTTCTACTGGGTCAGAAGCCTTGGATCACCTTCATCGCCTGCAGCGTGGCCCCAGCCACATCTCGGTTTGCCTTTGTCATCAGTGGCCCAGAGACTCACAGTTCATCCGGCTCAGCTGACTCCTGTGTCTTCAACAGAGTCGGCATTGACCGCCTTCAGTCTTACCAGCCAGCCCTCCTCTGTCCTTCTCTGTGAACCAAACACAGAGAAGGCAGTGCCCGCTCCTGGAATAGAGATTCCTGTGAAACCGCAGAGAGACTGAGCAGGAGAGGGCTTCTGTGGAACGAGTCTAGTTATTTGCACTGGGCACAGAGGATGTCCTCAAGACTCTGACATCTGGGTCCTTCTTATCAATCTCCAAATAACAGTTCATCCCGGCCCCCATCCCTCCTGTGGAGCCCTGGTGGCATAGTGGTTATGCCTTCGGTTGCTGACCTCGAGGTCAACAGTTTGAAACCCCCAGTCCCATAAAGAGTTGTAGTCTTGGAAACCCATCAGGGTCATTCTTTTTCTACCCCGTCCTACTGGTCACCAGGAGTCAGAATTGACTCAATGGTAGTGAGTTTTTAGAGTGTCCCTCCATGAAACCTTGTTTGCAGGAGAGGGCCATACTGACCACATTCTCCAGACCCCACTCAGCTAGCCTGGGCTCCCTGGGTTGGGGCTCTCCTTACAAAGCACCCAGCCATGATCGAGGTGCTTCTGCCAAGCCATGTTATCCCTTCTCCCTCCATCTAAGCTCTTTGATATGACCGATGACATCCTCTCTGACCCTAGTTCTGGATACTTCTCTGTCTTGTCTCCACCACTGTTGTCTCCACTGTGCTCAGCCCAGCCACTGGTCAGCATGCCCTACTGCCCCCTGAAATGCCATTCCATTGCCTCTGTTTGAAGTGTGGGCTTTGTCTAAACCATTGCCCATCTGCGGACATCTACCTGACAGGTCCTGTTCTTCACCTGGCTAATTTCTCTTGATTCTGTAAGGCTGCGCTCACCTCTCCCCACCCTCAGGGAACCTTCCCAGCTTTCTTTAGGTCCATCTAGTGCCTCTAGATGGTAGCTCTAGGAAAGGAAGGTCCACGTGTTTTAAGAAGTTACCTTCCGAGGATGATGTGCATAAAAGTACAACTGTTCTGGGTCACTGTTGGATTTCTAACATGATGACTTTTCAACAGGAGTGGCTGTTTTGTTTTGCCCTTTTTTACACTGAGTTGATAAGGAAAAGAGCTTTTCTGTGGCAAACTGATAAGAATCGGTGACAGCAAGGGACTTGGTTTTTGTCTCGCTTTGTTTGGTTTTACTTAGATGGGCAGATTTAGAAATTCGTGTTTGTATTATGATCATACAGTTGGGTTTTTTTTTTAAATGGCATTTGACTGTGTCTACAGTGAAGGTGCCCACAGCAGTTCAGATTCCCACTCCACATGTCCCCAAGTCGTTGAGAAACACTGGGCACACTCTTCAAAAGGTCTGAGCCTTCTCAGCAATTCCATTCTGGCCGTTCCATTCATCTAACTTCCCTTTACACACTCATCCTTGGTTTAGAGTAGACGGTGGCCATTTGGTCTCATGTCGGTGGTTTTTAGAGGTTGCTATTCATCCCTTTTTGAGCCAATTTGTTATTTGGCTTCAAGGTGACCTCAGAGGTTAGTTTCAGCTCGAGGTTTGAAGAATAGCTCAGAACAGAAATGGTCTCAGAGAGTCCTCTAGTCCCAACGCCCAGTTGATCTGTTTTGTTGTGGTGCTGTTTTGTTTTGTTTTGAAGACGTTTGAGTTCTGTCCACATTTTTCTTTCCAATCTATTGGGGCCCATCTATTGGGGCCCCCTCTAGATCAGTAGTGGTAGCTGGGTACCATCTCACTCTTTTAGCTTCAAGGTAGATGAGCCCGATGGTTTTTGCGCATCGTTTGTTCTGTAGACTAGTCTCTTCTCATAGTCTTTGTTTTTCTTCATGTTTTGTTCCAGGTGAATAGAGATCAATAGTATCTTAGATGGCTGGTCCCGAGCTTTTAAGATCCCAGACATGACTCGTTGCTCAACAGCTGGGGATATAGAACATAACTTCATGAACGACAAGGGGGCTTTAAAAATTCCATTTTCTTTCTATTCCACTTTTCCGTGAACTTTTGAGCTCCTACATATATCAGTTGACTGAGAGGTTCCATAAGACTAGATGGTCCCAATTCTTCACACCCAGAAATCCAATCCCTTAAAGTATTGGTTATGCTTCGAATGTAGAACATTGTGTTTCTGAACTATGTTATGCCAATTAATCTTGTTTCTCCCCTATGTATTATAAACATGAATATTATGTATATGAATATAGGTTTTGGAGTCATTTAGCTTTGAACTAAAAGAAAACGAAGGCTCTGAAAGCTAACGCAGTTTGTCCAGGGTCCCTCAGCCAACAAATGGTTGGGACTTCCAGCTCCAAGGCCAGGTAGTCCCTGCAACGCTTTGTAAAACCTCTACAGATTCAAAGGAAAAATTAAGAAGGAAAACATTATTAAACATCTTTTAAAATTTAGAGTCAATCTGTAAGTCAATAAGTGAAACCCCCGGGTATCACCACATTAAGGGATCATATATTCGACTATAATTCTGTGACTCAAGTTGATGTAGCATATTACCCACCAGAGGACAACAAACAAATGGTACCTATTTCGTATGTGACTCATGAAAAGCAATTTCAACCTTCTATGCACAATTTGTAAGTTTTCCTTTAATGCATCAGGTGGCCATCAACATAATAACTGAACTATTGTTTAATGAGTAAGCATGCCTTCAAAGAGCCCTGGGGTGTAGCGGATTATGAATTAGGCTGCTACGTATAAGAGCAACAGTTCAAAACCACAAGCTGCTCCATGGGGGAAAGATGAGGCTCTCTACACGTGTGCAGATTTAGTTTCAGAAGGCCAAAGGGCGGTTCTCCTGTCTTACAGGGTCGCTGTGAGACAGGACTTATTTGATGGGTGTGGATAAACGTGCTTCCGTGCTCGTGTGGTTGGTTCTGTATATTCTTTAGGATAAATGGACTGGAATATTTTTGGGAGAGGAGGGCTGCGAGATGACACATGTATAGTGACGTTTCAGGATACTCCTTGCTGAGGCAAGAAGACATTTAAAACTGTACTTCAGCAAAATAGGAAGCACAGTTGAATCTAAAAATCCTTACTTTCACAGAACATGGTATATATTGTCTTATGCTTTTCAGCAGTGTAACTTAGCGATTCAATTTTTATTTCCACCAGAAGTGCTCATTTTCATCTGGTGTCAATTTTCCTTTCAGGTGACCTTTCAAATTACTCCACTGTGTACCAGCGAGAGGCATTATGAGCATTTTGGACGGTGCTGCAGCAAATGTCAGCCAGGTATGTGCTTCTGAGCCAGCTTTCATCTTCCCTCAACAGTGGTGAGGGTGTGTTGTTTATTTTTTTAACCAAAGGAATAATTTACTGTCTTGCCAGATTTTTAAAAAAATGAGTAGAGTCTCTATGGAAGTGGCAGGTATCTGTCACTCTGAAGACAAAACCGTCTCAGAGAGGAAACCACTTAAAAGGCTAAAGCAATTTCAGAAACGGATATTTAATTCATATGGGAAGACAATTTTCGAAAACACTCTTGTGAAGGCAAGGAGACGTTCAAAGCCATTATTTGAGCAATTTCAAGATAGGAAGCATAGGGCGAATCTCCAAATCACTATTTTCACTGTTTGTGGTTGTGGTGTGCATGTCTGCCAGCTGCTCCAAATGGCCCCCACCCTATACCTTTTCGCACCTACCTGCTGAGGAGCAGAAGGTGTACTGGTCACCACAGTGCAGAGTTGTTCTGCTGGAAAAATGATCAACTCTCTCTAGTCCCAGGCCCCCTGGGTCCTCACTCTCTTCTGGCTTCTAGGGAAGGAATGATATTTTTGAGGAAAGGCTACGTTACCTTACAATAAGACCCTGTGCACATTTCAGCTACAAATAGTTTTGTGGATTAGTAGAACCAAGAACCGATGATTTTCAAGCGTGAGCGCGAGTGTAGGACTCTCTGGTCAAACCAAGTCATTCAGGAGCTTGTAGTGACCAATGAAGTTCCCTCTTCCGATTGTGGATAGAGGAGATTTTAAGATGGGGGACGATGGAGTGCATCCTGCCTAACTCCCTTCTCCCTGGAGGGGTTTCTAAGAACCACCTTCCATTTTGCAGGGTCCAATGTGAAAACTGTCCTACTCCCACAGCCGACTGTTGGGCACTGAGTCATCTTTTACTTGTTGTTTGTTGTTGTTGTTGTTGTTGTTAGTTGTCATTGGGTCAGCCCGGCTCCCAGTGGCCTTGTGAATAACAGACTGCCTCGTTGCGGCACACTCATGACTAGTAGTCTGTTGAGGCCAGTGGGCAGCTCTTGTGGCAGTCATCGCTCTCACTGAGGGCGTCCCTCATCGTCACGGACCCTCCGCTTTGTCAAACAGGATGTCCTGTTCTAGCAGTGGACCTGACCGCTGTGACTACAGTTGACACAAACCTAGGAGAGGTTTGGGGTTGGTTTGTTTTTTAACCTGCAGAGGCTGAGAGCCCAGGGTGCAGCACTCCCTGTAGCTGTCGCCTTGTTTTCTACGTCATGCCGTTTGAAGACTGCTTGGCATCACGATCGTGTAAATCGGTCGAGTAAGTTGGTGCTTTTCTCCCCACTTTTTGTTTAAGGGAAATACATGTCTTCTAAATGCACTACTACCTCTGACAGCGAATGTCTGCCCTGCGGCCCCGATGAATACTTGGACACCTGGAACGAAGAGGACAAGTGTTTGCTGCATAAAGTCTGCGATGTGGGTGAGTGAGTCTCTGCGTGTCCGTGGGGCCTGTGGAGATCAAGTGTTTATTGCGGTCCCTCACAGCTACTCCACGACAGAAACGGGCTCTTTGATGCAGCCAGTGCTGTGCCTTTTTTGGGGGGCGGGGCGGGGGCAGTGCACGAGGGAAGTTATGACCATGGAACCTCTGGAAGGATGTGCTTCAGATCCCCGAGATCCTGTGATCAAATCCTGCATTTAGATTGCTGTTCTAGAGTAGGTTTATGTAGCACTTTAACCAGGAAGGACATTGGGCAGTTGACCAAATGTTTCTTCGTGTGTAGATAGCACCATCTAATCTTCTTAAAATTCCTTTTAGGTAGCATGGTCACTCCATTTTAAAGACTAAGTAGTGGAGACGCTGAGAAGTTGAATGACTTCTCCAAGATTAAAAAATGAGGCTTGAAACCAGGTCTTCAGACTTTTACATCTTGGTACTAAGCTCTGTGTTTTACTAATGCTACTGTTCGAGCAACTTATTGATATCTCAAATGTTTTATTAATTACAGTTTATTTGTAGAAATCGAGATCAAAATGCCTCCTACGTTTCTTCCTTTCTCTTTTCCCCCCCTTCCGTTTATTTGTTGGATAAAACCTGTTGTTATTCCAGTGGCATTTCCACCATTTGGATTTTGCGGGTTGTATTTTTTAGATCGCATTTAACATATCCCACTGGCTTTTATGCAGCATTTCCTATACCTCGGCCGCTGCATCTAGAAGGTGGATCAGACTGGCTTTCACTTCTCACAGTGACTCCCCAGTTGGTGGACATACTGCATCTGGAGTCCTAGAAGAGCCTTGGCTCTCTCTCGTTGTGATATTAGCTCTGGTTTATGACTTTGGACTAAGTCCATTTTTATTTCCATCGTGTGCAGATGTTCTAAATGTTGCCTCTCTTCAATTATTACCTGGGGTGCTTTACAAGGAGAAATTTCCCTCGTCAACTCTCTGTCTCCCAGAGGCTGAGCACACCTAGGGAAACTCAAACACCAAACTCACTGCCATCGAGGTGATGCTGACTCACAGAGACCCTGTAGGACAGGGTAGAACTGTCCCCTGCGAGTTTCCAAGGCTGTTACTCTTTATGGAAGTTGAACGCCCACCTAGGGACGGCTGGGTCAATCAGTGGTTCTGTAGCTCTGGGTACCACTTTTCACAAAGTACTGACTGGATCACCCAGCTTTCCCCAAAGCATTTGCAGTAACGTCATGAGGTCATAGATCCAGTGCGCCAGTCTTTGGCAGTGGGCTCCTTACTGCTGCTCCAATTCTCCCATTTGCAGTCAAGCAGAGCCTCTTCTAGAGGCACTCTAATGGCACAGTGGTTACGAGTTGGGCTGGTCAGAAGTTCAAACCGCCAGCCAGCTCTGCGGGAGAAAGATGGGCTTTCTACTCCGGTAAAGAGTTTCGGAGACTCACAGGGGCAGTTCTACCCTGTCCTGTAGGGTCGGCGTGAGTCAGTGTTGACTCAATGGCAGTGAGTTTGGTATTTGAGGAGCCTCTTTAAGAGACCGGTAACTCTGGATAGTGCACCCCTCGTTAAGAGTCCCGTGGTTTCCATGCTCAGCTGGCACAGTTCCTGCTCCACCCCTGGAATGTGGAGCTATTTCTGGACTGCAGTAGGGAAATATACTATTTAGAGATCTGAACCTGGGTGCTCGGGAGCCTCATGGCTACAGGGTGGGTCCTTGTGTATAGGTTGTTGTTGTTTCCAGTGCTGGGAACTCAGGGTTCTGTGTAAAATCACATTTACTCTAATGGCAGCGGAGCCGTGGTGGTGGAGTGGGTTAGGAAGTGACTCGATGGCAGTGAGTTTTGGTTTATTCTAAAGGCAGAGTTAGGTTGGAGGAGGTTACGTGGAAACTCCACTGAGCAGAAGCAGCTGACCAAGCCATTTGTATTTCCTCCTGCCTAGTAATGACCTTGACTCACAGCTGTCTCTTGGAAAGAAAGATGCATCCTGTCTGCCGCCAAGCTAGATTAAAGCCCAAAGCCTGGCAAGCAAAGAGACTTTGAAACACCTCACAATTATTCATCGCTAAACAGGCATTCATTCACCTACCTTTGAGGGGGATCCTGGGAGTAATTAGAATTTTCCAAGGAAGTTGCCATTTGTCTGTGTGCACTGCTGAACATTAGGAAGCCCTGGCCTGGGCCTTGCAGCATGGACTCAGAGGGATCGGAGATTCCCAGGGCCACAGGCCTGGGTCTGGAAAGAGGAGAATAGGAAATAGTCTCTCCCTATTGGCGGTAACATGGGAAAACAAAGGGGGGAGCAGGTCTCTGGTTGGCTGACTTGTTTTTTTTCCTCGGGATGCCTATTAATATGCAGGAATATGAGCTCCCCAGCTATATGGACAATCCAGGTGAGGTGGCTCCCAAGGGGTAAAAGGTCTGTTTTAAATGATGTAAATCATGTGTGCACACACATATGAGGGGACTTCAACAAGTTTGTAGGGAAATCCCATTAACTTTCAGTTGCATTTTTTTTTTCACGAACTTTTTGAAGCGCCCCCCTCCCACCCCCACCCCCGATACATGCACACTCATATGTATGTGTGCTGTTGTTGGCCCCCACTCACTCACAGCAGCCCCACGCACAGTGGAAAGCAGGGCTGCCTGGCTCTGTGCATCCCCTCCTCGGTCAGCTGCCTATAGGACCACTGTGACCCACAGGGCCGGTTTTCAGAGGCACATCACTGGGCATTTCTTCCTAGTCCGCACGCTCCCCGCAGAAACCTGCTTGGAATCCTAGCAACCCGCAAGGCGCCACTGACTGGAGGTGGCGAGGCACATGCGGGGCATTGGCAGGGAGTTGAACTTCGGTCTTCCACACGGGAGGCAAGAATTTTACCGCCGACCCACCCATACCTGTCCACACTCAGTGGATGCGTTCCCAGTTCCTGGATGGCTCAAGAACTGGGGAAGACCAGGCGAGTGGGTGGGAGAAGATGAGCATATTGTTGGGGTCTGTGACAAGAGTCAAAGCACCCGTGGAGTTTGGGGGGTGTAAGTAGGGAGAGGTGAATTCTGAGAGCAAATCATGACGCGCAGGCTCTGTCTTGTCACCATATCACACAAGCAGCCTCCCGTACAGAGTCCCTAGATTTCAGGAAACGCTGTTCTTACAGGTCCCAGCACATTTGGGTTTTCTAAAAATCAGGTGGCCGTGCCTGTCGGACTAGTCTGCGTTCGCCCAAATACTCAGCCGGCACAAAGGCCCAGTCTGTACCCTCCTGCCAGTGTGAAAGCGGACTTTAAAAATCCCACCAAACTGGATGCAGCTCTGGTTGGGCTGCTCAGCTAACCACAAGGTCAGCAGCTCTAAACCACCAGCTGCTCCGTGAGACAAAGAGGAGGCTTTTGCCCCGTAAAGAGTTATAGTCTCACAAACCCACAGGCAGAGTTCGACCCACTCCGGTAGCGTTGCTCTGAATCGGAGCCGACTTGAAGGCAAAGAGTTTGGAGAGAAATCCGTGGAGATGGCCAGGCATCGTCAGGGGAAGAACTTGGCGTGGGCCCCCTTTGAATGGAATGGTGCTTGTGGGGTGGCACGCTCACTGGGATGCGTCCTGGCCAAGTGCCCCATCGTTCTCCTCTCTTCCACAGGCAAGGCCCTGGTGGCGGTGGAGCCCGGCAACCGCACAGCCCCGCGGCGCTGCGCCTGCACCGCCGGTTACCACTGGAGCGATGACTGCGCCTGCTGCCGCCGCAACTCCGAGTGCGCGCCTGGCTTCGGCGCCCAGCACCCGTGTACGCAGTTGGGTTTGTGAGTCTGTCGGTTAAGCCAGGAGGCTGGACAGAGGACAGGGAGAGCTGTGACTTTAGGTGGCTCCGGAGGGGACTGAGGGGGACAGACAGAGCTCCACCGTTTAGGGGGTTCTCTGGGAATGTAAATAGCCTTCCATCTGTGTCCATCCTCTCCAGGAGCCCCCGTCTGTCCCCTTAGTTCTTTAGTGATGGATTCTCGTGTGGCATCTGCTCGTTTATGCTTATGTGTACCTGGGTGTCTGAGGGTGGAATTTGCCCTTTTTCTAGCCCAGAAGTGACTAGGTATAGGATTCCCCCTTCCACTTGTAGAACCTCAACATGGCATTAGATTAAACTGCATCCCCAGAGTTGACGTTTGGGGGACACAGTTCAGTCTGCACGTGTGTGTTGCACGCTCCACGTGCCACAGAGCTCATCCCGTTGCTAATACTGGCGGTTGGAGTCCCGCCGGTGTTGCACATCTGCTTCCAGCCCGCTGGCCCTAAGTGCTGCGAATCTGCCACGTTCCACCCAGCCTTGCGGATGGTTTCCCCCGACTCTGACTCTCTCCCTTCCCGGTCTCCATGTGCTTGTCCTAGGACTACTGTGTTCTGGAGCAGAGTTGGGGGTGAGGGACACTGGACCTGTTCCATCTCTGACTCCTTCAGATTCCCACTGAGATGGGGAAGGGATCATGCAAAACTGTCACTGCCATCCGTCGGTGCCGACTCACAGTGACCCTGTAGGACCGAGTAGAATTGCCCGGTGGATTTCTTTGTAGAAGCAGATGGGGTGTCCTCCATGGAGCAGCTGGGGGGGTTTGAACTGCAGACTTTCAGTTAGCAGCCCAGCATGTAGCCCCCTATGAGCATGTTGGAGGGGTCGGTGACAAGAGACAAAGCCCCTGGGGAGAGGCGAATTCTGAGAGCAGACCATCAGGCCAGGCTCTGTCTTGTGCCACACGTAGAGTCACGCAAGGATGGGAACATCACGCAAGGAGCTCCTTGGGGACAGTGCAAGGGCCACTCGGGCGGTTTTCTTCTGTAGCCCTTCAGAGAATTTTGAAAAACTTATCCTCCAATGGGTATCTAGATTTTAAAAACTCATTCATCTAACGAGCTGCTCGGAACGTTGTTGCGAAGAAATTCTAACCACGGTAACCCTTTTGAACACACTCCATGAAATCTCAACCCACACCCATCTTTCTTCACTGTCGGCAGTTCACAGAATTCTATTCTCAGATATTTGTATGCTCACGAAGCTTTTATTAATCATCCTATTCCTTTGCATGATAAATGTGCATCCATTTGAATCGTAATTAAAAAAATTTTTTTATGACTTAAGCCTCCAGAGTTGAAAACATTGGACTGAGCTGGCATTATAGTGATGGCTACACATTGATTGAAAATGGCTCTATTGTATCTTGCTACATGGAAGTTATAAGAGCTTTTGAACGTCATAACTAGTGGCATTTTCCCAATAAATTCATATATTCATGGCTAAATGTTGTTTACTGCTGCAATTCAATATCAGATCTGTTTCCTCTTTTTGTTTTCATATGTGTAAAGGAGCTCTGGTGGCATAGTGGGTTATATACCTTGTGCCTGCTCACCACAAGGTCAGGAGTTCAAAACCACTAGCTACTCCTTGGGAGAATGATGAGAGTCTCTCCTCCCATAAAGATGGATAGGCCTGGAAACCTACAGGGGCAGTTCTACTCTGTTCTCTAGGACTGCTATCGGTTGGAATTGACTCGGTGGTAGTGGGTTGAGTGTTGAGAAATCTGCTTAGGTAAATAATAAACTAGTTCAGAAAGCAATGCCATTCAATCCTTTGCGTTTGTAGGCACCTTCTGAATTATATGCATAATGCTGCACCCCCGGCAACTGTCCCTCCTGGTCTCTCTCTGGAGAGCTACACTGCGTCCTGCACTTTTGCTGAAAGCCAAGAAACGGAAGCCACCCAACTTCCAAAAAACATTTTTCTTGAACGCATTGATTTTCCCACCTCCTAGGAAATGTACCAGAGCAGTTTATTCAAGACGTAGCAAGTGATCATTAAGTATGTCCGTTAACCTGTCAGTTAGAGGCAACCTGTGTTACCCCACTGTGCTTGGACAGGGTTGGGAGAGAGGAGATCTTATTTGTTTCGATTTATGTGGGGGAAAATGTCCATCCCACAGTGTGACTGGGACCATCAGTCCTTCTTATCAAATGCGTTAACCAATCAGACAGGCCTTCTCTGGGAAAACGTCTGATTGGATTTTTCAGTGATTAGAATCATTTCCCCAGGAGGGCATCTTCCTTTCTGAATTCTGCGCTTCAGCTAGAAGCCCAGAGCCTCCCATCATGTTTGCCTTCTGGAGGAAATCCTGGGCCTGTTCCTGGGAAAGTCTCCTCCCGACCCAGTCCTGTAGGCAGCTTCCTTCAGGGGTGGTGCAGTGTGTGGAGATGAGTGCAGGAGAGCGCAGGTGAGGTAGACGAAGGAAAGCCATCCTCCTGTGAGTCCAGAACAAGTCAACAGGGCCCAAAGCCCCCATTTCAGCCCACACGGCGCCCTTCCTGGACAGGGACAGACAGACGCCATTGTGGGGTCTTGCCATGGCCAGGTCCTCAACTTGCTGCTTTGCTAGGTGGGCATCCTTGGGGTGAGGCACCCTGCAGCCTCGGGTTGTACCAGAGGGGTGCCTTCTGCTTCTGAGAGTGAGGGGAGCGCAGTGGGGGGAGGGGGAGGGAGGGAGCGTGCTTGGCAGTCTCAGGAAGGCCCAGCTCATGGAGGGGCAGAAGAGGAGGCCCCGTCAGACCTTGTCTCCATGGTGGTTTTGAGGAGGGCCACTCTTCTAGGTTGGGTTCTTCATTCAAAGGGCTGCTTGATTTACACGAGAGACTGGACATCACTGCTTCTGTTGATATTGTTGCCAGTCAAATGCAAACCTCTGGCTACACGGGGAAAGCTTACTTGCACAGTGATTTTGCAGAAACCGAGGATGACCTTCCTACCTGGCTTTGGGTAGCAAAAACTTAGTTCTTTACTGGTGTTTCATTCCTGAAAATAAATCACAGAAGTGCTACTAATTTCAAGAGTCATTTGTGGTTTGGGCACCAGCCCGTTGACGGATTATGACATCACTGGTTGCCAGGGCTCTTCCTTGGAATTACTGAAAAGGTCATTGTGCGGCAGCTTCGGTCAGTGCAGTAGGCAGGGGACCACAAGGGCTTTCTTCCCACCATCATGTAGTTTATGAAGAAAATGGGAGAGGTAACTAAAGGGTGCTTGTCCCCGCCCACTTCTGCTTTCAGCTCAGTGCGTTAAGGCCGGGCTTCCACATCTGGCCTGTCCACTTGTATTGTAAATAGAGTTTCATAGGAGCATGGCTATCTCCTTCACTGATCTCCAGCTCGCCTTGCTCTCTGGCTGAAGCCAGAAACCCCACAGAATCTAAACTACTGACTGCATGCCCCTTTGTGGAAGGCGTTTGCTAGTCCCTTAAAAGCTTTATGGGGAAGAGACTTAACAGGGATTTTAGAGCTTTTTAAAAACACTTTTAACGTAAATGGAGAAAACTTTGTTGTCACTCCAACAAGTGTGAGATTAAGCTGCCCAGAACAAGACGTGGCCCTTCAAAGAAGTACTCAGGCAGGAAGGGAATCACAGGCAGGAGCCTGGCTAGGCGAGAGTCCAAGAACTGAACCGACAGCTGGGCATCCAGGAGGCAGCCTCCGGGGCAGGACCGAGAGCCTGCACCTGTCTGGCAGATCAAGGGGGGAGCAGCCTACTGTGGAGCCAGTGACCTTGCTGAACTCAGTTCCTGAACTCATGGTGGGGACCAGCAGTGGTATTTGTTACACTTGAGTGAGGGACGGGGACAGGGAGAGAAGAGGCCCAGAGCAGGACGTCTGGTTCGAGGACCAGCTTCCTGACCGATCTCTAAGTGTCCCTTGTTTGTTCTCTGCTTGTTCTCTTTGCCGGTCGTCTTTCGGACAGTGCAGCTCAACAAGGACACAGTCTGCGAGCCTTGCCCTGCAGGCTTCTTCTCGGATGCCGTTTCTTCCATGGATAAGTGCAGACCCTGGACCAAGTAAGTGACCGCAGAGGTTCTTGGGCTGATGTTGAGCAATGGGACCTCCCTTGACTTGTCTGAGTTGAAAACAGGCAGGTTGGGCTTGGAGAGGCTTCCTCTTTAAGCTTTGCTCAAAGTGGATCACTTCTGGGGGTTCAGCGTGGCTGGAAATGAAGCCAGTCAGATGACCTCAACTCCATTGAAAAGGAACTTTGTGTTGCGTTTTCGATTCAGTCCTCTGAGACCCATGGCTTCTACTTGGAAGTAAGAGACACTTTTGTAGTGAAAAATCGTAGACAAACAGCATTTATCCAAACAGTGGAATCCCTGGACCCTTTCACGGCACGTGCCTGGTGCCGTCTGACAGCTGAGTGCTAACAAGCAATGCCAGGGTTCTTTTAGTTCTCAATATATTTGTTGCTCTTAGATATTTATTCTCTAGCCTTCTTAGTTTTATGTCAAAATAGTTTTCTGTATTTTGGGTTTCAAAAGAACAGACATCAATGAGTGCTGAACATCTTTAGGCCAAAGGACGGGGAGAGAGCTGGAGCCAGGGCAGGCACTTATGCTGGACGGGGGCACACTGGATGCACTCGAGGCACTGGGGCATAAGGGCCTCCTATTAGAAGAGGGGCCCCTTGCCAAAGCAGCAGAGAGTGGACTGTCTTCACCTGAATTTTCAGAGCTTTGTATTTGGCTCGGGACTCAGATAAAATCATCACGCAACTTGGGAGAAAGTGTCCCTTCAGCTGCGAGATGTGATCCAGAAAGCTTCCAGCTTGGATTGTGATTTCGTAAAAGAAATGGCGTGTCCATATTCTGCACGCATATCAGGGCATACCCAAGACCGTTTAAAAGAGGACGACTGTTGGAAAAGCCTGTTATTTTAAAGTATGGAGTTTCAAGCTTTACAGATATTGCAGAACCAGAAACTTACAAGATCTCAACTAGACGAAAATCATGAAATGCATTAAGAAGTTAAAGCAATCTGTGACACCCTTGCTGTACCCAAGTCAACAACTTCCGACGTTCTGCTTATGCTAAGCCGAGTGGCAGCAAAGGTGAAGGACCTTCTCGCAAAAGTCCAGAGAAACCATGTGGGGAAACCACTGTTGAATTGGATTTAAATCAGGAAGAGGCGGAACAGCTAGAAAGAACCCACGATGCTCTTTCTCTGAGCATGAATGCTGCAGGCGCATGCTCGTGAAGCGTTTAGATGTGACTGGACAGTCCGTTGGGAGATCTGATAGAGCAGAGGTCAAAACAGACAACAAAGCAAGAATTTACCAACCTAAGCCGTATGCTCGGTCACCCACCCAAGACAACTATTACATCAGCACATTTCCTTGCTGCTCCTGAAGATCTAGCCAAGATCATTAGGACCAGCAGGGGCACCAGTCGGGAGAAAACGGCTTGTGCCAATACTATGGTGCTGGTGGGCAGAGTGCTTGACCATGGAGGAAGTCCGAATGAAATCGAACCACCACCCCTTGAAATGCCCTGATGGCAAAAGAGACAAGACAGCGGTGGGAGGGTGGTTGGGGTGGTGGCAGAGGAAGGGGTTTCCAAGGTAGGGGAGATGATGGTGGCTGGGGGGCTATGGAGGAAGAGGAGGGAGATCCGTATGGCGGAGGTGGTGTTGGTGCATCCAGAAGATACTCAAAGTGACAAACATTGGGAAGCAGCGCTCACTTCTCATAGATACATTAGGCTTCCTGTTTTCAGTAACATTTGAATATCATCTCTGAAGTAAGCATAGCAGCCACTCTGATACCATTCTTCAATCGGCTGATGTGTCAGCGTGTTGCTGTCTACTTCCATTTGATCTCTTGCGCCATGATGTTTCCCCCTGGTGTTCTACAAAAAGAATTTCTAAAAACATAAATATTTATTACCATCAAACTTGAAAAAATGGAGAGTATTTTATTGTCTGGATCGAATTTAGATCGTTAACCTGTCTTTTATTCAGGTTTGAGAGAAAAATGACCCTCTCTGAAACGGAAAGGAATATAGATTATCATTTGACTCGGGAGAGGAAAAAAGAACAGTCATCAAAAGTGCTTCCCTTGGTCCTGGTCATTCAAGCCCTTAGAGCCCCCTGGACTGGAGGCACCACACTGACCATCCTCTGTCCGGGGGGTGGGGGTGGGGTGGTGGTGGTTGTCTATTCATCCATCCACTTGTATGCCATCCCGTTCCTGACATGGATGGCACAGGGATTCAACCATCCAAGAAGACTTGGGTTCCTCTCTTGAAGAGCCAAGCAATCTAGTGGAGTTGATCCATCTGGCACTCCTGCCGCTTTTTAAAGCAGATGTAAAATCAGAGCACTGTGTGTGTGTGTGTGTGTGTGTGTGTGTGTGTTGGAAGATTATCCTACACACCCGCTCACTCGAGCACACACCCATGAGATCACTGTGAGTTGGAGCTGACTGGCAGCAACTGGTAGTAGGAAACCATATGTCACTATTTAATGCCCCTTACTCACTTTCCGTTTTTAAAAATGTTGTTGTCGTTGTGAAGAATACCCAAACAAACCATACAGCAATCGAGCTGTCTCTGTACGCACACTTCAGTGGCCTTGACGAAGTTCTGTGAGGAGCGTGCCCGTTCTCATCCTCCTTTCCCAAAGTGCCCCTCCTCTGTTACCTCATTGCCTCCAGAGCTCTTATCTAACCTTTTGAGTTGCTCTTGGCAACTTGATCCCATAGAGAACGGTCTTAAAAGAGTGTAATGCCCGAGGCAGACATAGTTTACTAGTTAGGCTCAAGGTGGTTTGGTTTTCAGAAGACTTCAGCTTACCCCGTTGTCCTCTACAGCTGTACCATTCTTGGAGAGACCGAAAAGCATCCTGGGACAGAGAAATCAGATGTGGTCTGCAGTTCTTCTCTGCCATCTAGACAGCCACCCAATGGTATGTTGACAAAGAGCAGTGGTTGGTAGACGTACCCCAATGTGTCTCTAGGGGGTTCATGTCCTTTTCTCCTTTGCATTCTATCCCTGGTCAGTTCAGTTTATCACTCATGTCAGTATTTCAATTCCAGGTATACTGTTAAATTGATCATTGTCTACTTTGGAATGTATGACTACTAATGTATTCATATGTACAAAAAGGGAAATAAAGGCTACAAGCATACATTAGAATGCCCAGACATGCTGGAGTCTTAAAGGCTTGAAGGTAATCAAGCGGCCATCAAGCTCAGAAGCAACAAAGCCCACATGGAAGAAGCACACCAGCCTATGCAACCACGAGGTGTCGAAGGGATCAGGTATAAGGCATCATCAGAACAAAAAATCTTACCATAGTGAATGATGGGGGGAGTGCGGAGTGGAGATCCAAAGCCCATTAGTAGGCCACTGGAGATCCCCTTGCAGAGGGGTCTCGGGGAGGAGATGAGCCAGTCAGGGTGCAATGTAACAATGATGAGAAATACAACTTTCCTCTAGTTCCTAAATGCTTCCTCCCCGCTCCCACTACCATGACTCGAATTTGACCTTGCAAGTCTGGCTAGACCAGAGGATGTACACTGGTACAGATAGGAACTGAAAATACAGGGAATCCAGGGCGGATGAGCCCTACAGGACCAGTGGTGTGAGTGGCGAAACAGGGAGGGTAAAGGGAGAATGGGTAGGAAAGAGGGAACCGATTACAAGGAACTATATGTGACCTCCTCCCTGGGGGACAGACAACCGAAAAGTGGGTGAAGGGAGACATCGGACAGGGCAAGATATGACAAAATACCAATTTATAAACTATCAAGGGCTCATGAGGGAGGGAGGGGAAAAATGAGGACCTAATGTCGGGGGTTTAAGTGGAGAGAAAATGTTTTGAGAATGATGTACAAATGCGCTTTACACAATTGATGTGTGTATGGATTGCGATAACAGTTGTATGAGCCCCTAATAAAATGTTTAAATAAAAAAAAAAAAAAAAAAAAAAAAAAAAAAAAAGAATGCCCCGACATGGTAAAATGGTTATCACATGGTAAGGTGATCATCTCTTCTAGAGAAATGTGCGTTGTCAACGGGAGTTAACAAATTGTTAGACTGTGGCTTTAACTATCTGTGGAGCATTTTCGTCGATCAGATTAGTCTGAAGGACCATTTCAGACACGGTGAACAGTGAGACTGGTGACTCCAGGTAAGTGAGTAGTGTGGAGGTGGGTCCAGACATCAGCGGAGATATCCAGATAGCCATCGCTCAGTGCGAGGAGACCTTCCTGCCTGCCGAGGCTGGAGGCCACATGCAGCAGAGATATGGCGTCACCAAGTCTTGACTAAGACGTGGCAGGCAGCAGGGCTTTATAGGATTCTGGATTCACAATCAGAGCAGAGCTTTAGAAAGACCATTTGGAAGGCAATGTCAAAAATGACTGCAAGGATAGCAAGCTATTTTGCAAAGACGAAGAGGGAAGATGGGAGACCAGGAAAACAGATCAAATCCATCAAGAGCCTATGTGGGAATGTTTCCTCAATGTCCTGATCAAACGTGGGATGAAGAAAATGAGTGTGGATTGTGTTGTGGGTGAAATTCTGGAAATACTTCCCCATTTGTCTGTGCTCTCGTGACCAGCAAAACCCTGGTGCCATGCTATTCTTGGAAAGAGCTGTGATAAGGGGCTGCCTTTTGCCCACAGAGCTTGATCTTCTAAAGATGCTGAGGGCTTCTAGAAGAAAGCTGGAGAGTGTGCTGAGCATGATTAGCATTCTCTGATGGTGGAAACATGCAGTGAGGCTTGTGTGTGGCAATGAGGCTGTACCGGTCTCCATGGAGCTTCCGGAAGGGCCTGATGATCTGCTTCAAAATCAGCCATGGGGGTTACCGTGAGTTGGGGGGTCATCACAGCAGCAGCTCCAACATCCGCAAATGAGGGCTGTGTGTCGCCTTGGCAGAGCTGGGCCAGTCTGACTCCACCCTGCAGACTGTGAGCACCCCGACTGAGGTCAAGTCGGAGCAGCTAGAGGGCTTCATAGGTTTTCTCCTGCAGTCCAACCTCCTTGATTCTGAGTTTTGATATGGATGCAGAGTATGCTTGCTCTCTGATCCTGTTCTCACTTTCTTCCAATACAGAACCCCAGATTTACTTGCCCAGCCTGATTATCCTGCTCCTCTTCGTCTCCGGGGCATTAGTCTCTGCTGTCATCTTCGGTGTTTACTACCGGAAAAAAGGGAAGACACTAACAGGTATTGTGTCTGTGGTGGTTTCCCAGGGTCCATCTTACAGGAACGGGAATGCGTTCCTAGATGGGGGCATAGGAAGATGTGCAGACTCTCCACTGACTGGCTTCAGCGAGTTGCTTCAAATAAGTGAGGTGGCTGTGCTTCAGACAGGCTGAAACACTCCTGATGTCTGATTCATTGTTCTCTGGCACAAAAGAACTGTATACAAATCAACAAAAATATTCCCACATCCAGAAAAGGGACGTCTCATGAGCTGTGTGCTCACGTTGGGTCAGTGAGACAGCAGCAGACACACCGGGAGTTGCATTTATCCTTGAATCCTCCCATTTCCTGAATCCTCACTTCAACAAGACACAAACGTTCAGGTAAACGGTGGAGGGGAAATTCTGATAGGTACGGTCACCTTGACACAGCTGAAAATGTGAAAGTTACTTTATCTTCAGCACAGTTTAGGCGCTCGTTCTCAGAATGAGCAAGCAGATATTTCTGGGTGACTTCGTTGCCTAGTGCTGCTGTAATAAAGAACAAACGGATGTTCTCCTGGTTGAGGTGGCTGGAATCTGAATTCAGGGCCCTGGCTCTAGGGAACGGCTTTCTCTCTGTTGGCTCCGAGGGAAGGCCCTGGTCTCTTTCAGCCTCGAGTGCTTGGCTATCATGGTGATCTTCAGGTAGCATGGCATCTACCTTCCCTCAAAGAGCTGTTTAATCGGTTCTTTTCTGTTTCCAAAGAGCTGAATTCTAGACCCATCATATTCAGATACTGCCTCATTAACATGGCAAAGGACCCATTCTCAAATGGGCTTTTAACCACGGGTAGAGGAGTTAGATGTACAACATCTGTATCGAGGAACAGTTCAACTCCTAATACTTTCCACCAAAAAATTGTTTGATCGTGTCTTAAGATATCATACCATGCTTGACTCTTTTACTTTGTGAAACTAACAAAAGTGTAATTTTGAGGA